ATGTTCTTATTTCCCCTGCTCTCCCCAAACAATCCAAGGAGGGGGAAGGGAAGGGTGTTAATCCCCTGAAGTGTGTGTGAGGCTCTGGCTTCCTGGTGAAGCAAATAGGCTCAGTGTCTCCAGCCGACCATGTTTATTAATGTCTGACTTCCCTTGCTTTCTTTCCCTTATTAATAATTAGCTAACTATGGTAACAATTTCATCTCTCTGGCAAGTATGCAGGCTCTTTGTCATCCATCAGACAAAGTTGCTGGCACTTGCCTGCCCTGTCGAGCTCACAAAGTGGTTGGTTGTAAGGACACAGTGGAAAACGTACAAAAGGAAACTTATAACACAGTACCTGCTTTCAAGGTTATATAAAATAATAACACTAATCTAACTCTTAAATCAATGCAACCTACTAAGCTCTTTCTATGTGCCAGCCAGGCACCTGCCACGTAACCCGCGCCCTGTTTCTGAGAGGCAGCCTGGCATAATGAAGAACCAGATTTTGCTGCCAGATCACCTGGGTTTGAATTCTGGCTCTGCCACTTACTTGCTGTCTTGACTTGGGCAAATTGTTTAACCTCTCTGTGCCTCAGTTTTCTCTTCTTTAAAATGGACTTAAAGTCACCCATCTCATATAATCATCATGTATGTTAAATTATTAATTGAAATGTGCATGTATATAGCGCTATATAACTGTGTATGAAATAAACTTTCATTTAACCCACACAATCATAATGCTATTATCCCTCTTGTATAGTTAAAGCAACCGAGGTGTAAGCCCAAGGTAACACAACCGTTAAGCCAGAGAGCAGGCACTTTACCAGCGATATCTAACTCAGAATCTAAAGAGGCTCATCTGGAAGTCTGGAGATGGTTTTGGTTGTCACCATGGGGACAGTGTTACTGGAACCCGTTAGGTAAAAGAAAGCAATGCTGCTGAACATTCTACAACGCACAAGACAGCCCCTTACAACAAATAATTATCTGGTCCAAAAGGTTAATAGTGTTGTCAGATAAAAGGCTTTGACAGCAGTTAAATTTAAATTTCAGTTAAATAACATAATCTTTTTAGTAAAAAGAAATTCCAAATATTTAGATAAATATGCCTCATAAAATAGTTGGGACTAAGGTTCATGCCTTTTTATTTGCTAAATTTTTCTAGCTATAAAGTACCTTATTAGATCTTTACAAACCTCCATGAACTGGAGGTACATGAAGTACCCATATTTATAGTTTACAAAATGAGACTTATAAAGGTTAACTTATTTGTTCATGGTCATGGAGCTGAAAAGTTGAAAAAACTAGGGTTAGGATACAAAAATATAATTAGCTGACCAATGACTTTTTACTCTTCTATATTGCCCTTAGTTTATTGATTCAAAAATTTGGCTTAAGAACATGGGCTATGATTAAAGAGGAGCCAATGACTAATAACAGACAGAAAATGATTGTACTTGATCTTGTGCTATAAGTGGTCTTTGGAGCCGTGGAATCATATTGTGCCTATAGAGGCATTCCCAATCATCTAGGGTGCTGGGTACCAGGCTTGTCTAAAAGAACTTATCTCATAGTTGCTTTCATAATTGTTTTGGTATTTTACTGCTAAAATAGAGACTGAAGAGAAGGACAAACATTATTCTAAAGTATTTTTATACACCATTTTATTAAAGTAGCAAATGGAGTTAAAAAATACCATAGAATCTATTTTTATAATTAATAGAGCATGCATATGAATGGAGGAGGTGAGTAATAGAAATTGTTTCATGGGCTTCCATATGAGACGACAACCTGTTAAAATTGGCTAGAAAAATCACTTAAGTCTATCTCTTTCCAAGGTGAAAAGGAACCTCTGGAAGGTAAGAGACTTCAGTTTTGGGGAGGTTGGGAGCAGAAGACTCTGTGCAGGTGCTTCTTGTAGTCTCCTTCTGTCTTTGGTGGCTGGTTAACTGCCAACCAAAACTGAGAGGAGGTGCCAATGGGCTGGGGACCTTGCAATAAATTTGACTGATTTAATTTTCAGTTTAGAAATCTCCAGGTCAATGTCTAATTCTGCTACTTTGTTTTTTCTTAGCTTTATTGAGATATAATTGACATATAACATTGTGTATTTCTAGGATGCACATATAATGATTTGACATATGTTTATATTGTGAAATAATTACCACAATAATGTTAGCATTCATCACTTCACATAGTTATCTCTCTTTTTAAAAATTTTTTGGTAAGAACATTTAAGATATACTCTCAGCAACATTCAAGTATCCAATATAGTACTGTTAATTATAGTCACCATGTTGTACATTAAACCCCCAGAACCTGTTTATCTATAACTGGAAGCTTGTACACTTTAACCAACATCTCCTCATTTCTATCACCCTGTGAGGCCTGGTAACAGTCTACTCCCTGTTTCTATGAGTTCACCATGTTTAGATTTTACATATAAGTGAGATCATACAGTATTTGTTTTTCTCTGTCTCGCTTATTTTACTTAGCATATTGCCCTTAAAGTTTGTCTATGTTGTCTCAAATAGCAGAATTTCCTTCTTTTTCATGACTGAATAATATATCACATTTTTTAATCCATTTAACTATCGATGGACACTTAATTATTTCCATGTGTGGTACTGGGAATAATGTTGCAATAAATATAGTGGTACAGACATCTTTTTGGATAGTGATTTCATTTCCTTCAGATACACACCCAGGAATGAGATTGCTAAATCACATGGTAGTTCTATTTCTTTACTTTTTGACAAGCCTCCATGCTGTTTTCCAGAGTGGCTGTACCAATTTACATTCCTACTAACACTATACAAGCGTTTTCTTTTCTCTACATGCAGGCTTTTCGCTACTTTATCCCTTGTCATTTTGAAAACAGCCATTCTAGCAGATGTGAGGTGGTATCTCATGGTGGTTTTTTTTGTGGGTTTTTAAAAAATTTTTTAAAGAATATATCTTTATTGATTTCAGAGAGAGGAAAGGAGAGAGAGAGAGAGGGATAGAAACATCACTGATGAGAGAGTCATCATTGATCGGCTCCTGCCTGCATGCCCCCAACTGGGTATTGAGCCCCAAACCTGGGCATGTGCCCTGACCAGGAATCGAATCTCTATCTCCTGGATCCTAGGTCGATGCTCAAATGCTGAGCCATGCCCAGCTGGGCTCATTGTGGTTTTGATTTGCATTTCTCTGATGATTAATGTTATCAATGACTTTTTCATGTACCTGTGGGCCCTATGTATGTCATTTTTGGAAAAGCTGTCTATTCAGGCCCTTTGCCTATTTTTAAATCATATTATTTGTGTTTTTGCTATTGAATTGTATGAGTTTCTGATAGATTTCAAATATTTACCCCTTTAATGAAAGAATTTAATTAACAAATGATTTCAAGTAGCCAAAGCAATATTGAGAAAGAAGAGAGCTGGATGGATGACACTTCCTCATTTAAAACCCTATTTCAAAGCTATCGTAATAAAAACTTTAGGTCCCTAGCATAAAAACAGACATAGGTCAATTAAACAGAAACAAGAACCCAGGCATGCATGGTCAACTAATATTTTAAAGGGAAGTCAAGAATACTCAAAGGGAGAGGATAATCTCTTCAATAAATGGTGTAGGAAAAGGTCACTGAGATAGAGGGTCATGTGACCAAAAGCAGCTTCAGAAAAGATTGAGAATTTGCTTCTGGGTGGAGGGAGGGTTGAAGATACAGAAAACACTCACTCTGCTCTACAGGAATTGTCACCTTTGGAGGCAGGAAAGTCTGTTTCTTCTGTCAACACCTGGGAAGACTCAGCCAGCTGAAGCTGACAGGCAATTCACTAGGTACACGAAGAGTCTTCCAGCCAAGTAGTACCTGGCTTTGCAAAAAAATGCCTTCCAAGTTTGTTATGGTTTCAATTACTGCAACCTGTGGTATTAAAACCACTTCCTGGAATTGTAAAATACTGCCAGAATAAATGTTCTTCCCCTTTTCAAGAAAAAAATAGCAGTGCTCATATTTGACACTTAGGTTGTGGACTCTTTTGAATGAATAAAATAGAAAGGGTTTGGTGTCATTCCTGACGGTCTGTGTGTTATTTTTCTGCCCACAGTTTGTGAATTGTAATGACAACTTTCCATTTAATTGCCATAGCTGGGCAGAAATTTTTTAAAAATCAGAAAAGATCAATAAGTGGTTAAGCAAAAATAAATAAATGGTGTGGGGAAAACTAGATATTCACATGCAAAAGAATGAAATTGAATTCCTATCTTACAACACTCACAAAAATGAACTCAAAATGAATTAGATTTACATGCAAGACCCAAAAGTATAAAACTCCTAGAAGAAAACGTAGGGAAATTGATTTTGGCAATGACTTTTTGAATATGACACTGTAGCTTAGGGAGAGAATTTCCCCCTTTTAGCCTTCTTTAGTTCTTATGGCTAGACTAGTAATATTGACACAAAACTAGATTAACAGGAAAAAAAACCCAAAACAATTAAATACATGTGCATGAACGAGTCACAATATGATGTTCAGATCATAAAATGAGGTTGAAAGAAATGATCAAACTAGACACTTTTGATACTTTTTAGACAAAGAAACAGTAAATTTGTGAGAAATTGACAGGACAAAGAAAGTTAGTGCTCATAAGAAAGGAATCTGAGCAAGGATTGGGTTTAGGTAGTAAATTAGTAGTAAAGGCTTTACAAGGTTTGTTAACAGCCGTTTTTGACTCTAGATTTAATATTTCGTTAGTAAGGTTGTCTCTCATTCCTCAAGCACCAGGAGGGCACCTATCGCATGCATAGTTTTCTCCTACATTTAAAGAGACAGAGACAAGTTAGAGAGCTCCTCTGTCTCCTGCTGCTTTTTAGATAATTTTAATTCAAAATTATCACTATGATGCTGAGGAATATCTTGAGGTCACCTGCCCCAAGGACACCGAAAGCATATGCAACAAAGGCAAAAATCAAGTGAGAGTACATCAAACTTAAAAGCTTCTGAACAGCAAAAGAAAGAATCTCCAAAATAGAAAGACATTCTAAAGAATGCTACCCTTTTCTTTCACAAGAAAATATTCTGAGAGATGACATCAGAGTGTCTTTAAAAGGATAAAAAAAAAAAGGCATGTCTTTATATATAGCTGTTCACATGTGCAATGTAACAGTTATGTCTAAAGATGTGAGCGTGCCCTGCTCAACAGGAAGGTCCTAATTGTTCTGAGTATTTTTTTTTTTCTCATTGTTTTTTCCTGCTTCCTTAGAAGAGAGCCATGGAGGTGATGGCTCATAATGTTTTGTTTTGTTTTATCCGATTGTATTGATGCAGGCAGTCTGCAGGTGGGCGGCGGAGGTAGAGAGGTGGTGGGAGGGTCTGGGAACTGAGGGTCCACGACCCACAGTGGGTTCTTGGCTTCTTGGCATTCGCAGGAGAGAATTCACACACAAGTCAGCCTAGAGTTTAAAGTGAAAGTGAGTTTATTAGTGAAGCAGCGAGACAGAGAATGGGTTACTCCACAGGCAGAGCAGTCCTCTTTTAGTGGAATTTGCTCCCTTTACTGAGATTCTTTTAATCAAGTGGTAGGGTATTGAGTTAGAGGGAGGAATATTTGGGACCTTCTCAGGGAAAGAAGTGATTTTTCAGAGGAGCTCCTTTGGCTATTTTGTGTCCTTATATGGTCTTTCCGTTTCTGATCATGGTGAGTGGGTGTGTCGGTCAGCATGCTGTGTTACAATGAGCATATATTGAGGCTAGGGGTTACCCTTAGGTGAAATTAGTCCTCATGTTGGATTGAGCTGGTCTCTGCCAGTTTTAAGCCATAAATTCAAGTGTGTGTATGGGGTGTGTCCTATCTCTTGACAGTTCCTGTAGCTTTTATTGATTGAGTCTATTCTGCCACATACTGTACCTCAGTACTCTATCTTCAAGAGATATAGTTGGGAGAGAAAATGGATTCAGTTTTTTCTTACTGGATTCTGTATAGCATTTTGTGAGCAATATTTAGCTAGAAAAGAAAATAATAAGCCTTCATCCCTGATCAATATTCTTTTAGGTTTTGAGGTAGGATCCATAGGTTAGCTGGGTTTTTCTGGTGTTTCAGAAGGAGAAGTAAATTCCAGGAAGGCATGATCTTATTTTCTGAGGTTATTTTGTGGATCTCTCCTGAATGCTCAAATATCCAAACATAATAGTTCAGAATCTGCATGACAAGAGCGCCATGGGCTGTTGTTCCTAAATAAGAGAACTAAAACTGACATGAGTGTGACCATTATTGATTCTGATTTCCATGAACATAATCATCAAAGCAATAGCTCAGGTGAAGCTCCCTCAGTCCTGCTTATAACTCACCAAAGGAAAAGTATTTGGACAAGTACATCCTTGTTTTGACTTAGCTGGGTTTGAATTCTGGGAGTGGGCATCCATGGGCTTAGAAAGAATAAAAGAGATCTTGACTAAAGTAAGTAATCCATTCCTTGCAACATCTAACCTATAATGAGGGAATAAAGGAAAAAGAGTATCCCAGTTACTGAGGTAACAGCGATGTTTCTTAAGTAGTTTGTAAGTCTCAACCTTTCTGTGTTGCCAACAGATAGGAGACTAAGTGAAAAAAGAAAAATATTTGTTAATTCAGTATCTGAAGACACCCTTAATAACTTGCTGGATGATGTCCTACGTGAAAAGGTGCTCGACCAAGAGGAAACTGAAAAAGTGAAAAAGGAAAACGGTACAACTGTAGCCAAGGCCCGTGACTTGACTTTGTGATTCCTGAAGGGTGCCATGCCAGCCAATTACTTATAGGCTATATCTGCAAGAGAGATTCCACTTTTGCTTCCAAGTTGAGATTTTCTTCAGGTAAGATTCCTCACTTTTGTTTAAGGGGTGTCTCAACTTGCCTTTGCACCTGCCTTTGCTTTCTAATTCACTTGCCAGATCCTAGATGACGCATCAGCTCTTTACCTCATACCTCCTCACCCTTAGAGAAAGCTGCCCTGCTTCCTCTGTTTTCCTTTGCTTTGTCCCTCAAAATTCCTGCAGTTCTCTGCTTCGTGTCTGCACCATACCTTACTGTTAGTTTGAAGTATCATTCTATTACAGGAGAGTAGTTTAGTTCTACAGAAATAATTTTGAAAACTTTATTCTAATCTTCCTAAGTAAGTAAAAGACAAAAACCCTTTCTTTTGGTCATTGACAGTAGGTCTTTGTAGTTCATGAAGGCTCTTGAAGACAAATTAAAAGCAGATTTCCCCTCCCCTTCTCTTTACTTATTTGGCCAAGCAACCCCTCCTCCACCTAAAACATGTCTCATTTTTTTTTTTTTCCCCAATGATAGAACCAACCTGTCATCTATTCTACAAAAGCAAAGAGTCATTGTTTTCCCTATTTTTCCTTAAAGCTAGATATCTTAGAAATATTTCTCATAGTCTTCACTATGCCAGACCCAAATATTTTTGCTTCAAGAAAGATACAAAATGCTAATGGCAATAGTGAGGGTAACAGGGTACAAAATAGAGTACTCAATAAGATGTCTTTCCATAACTTGAAAACATCACCCTCCCATTTTACTAAGGCCAAGGTCCACAATTCTTAACTTGACACTTATTATAGCTCTCCAATCCATCTTCTGTTTCCCTTTGCACAGCTCTCCTCATTACATTGGGTTCCTCCTAATAGAACACACTCATTCTCTTTTCAAAGGCCTTTGTATTAAATTGATGCTATGACCCAGACTCACTTCGTAAAACAACTTAGGTTAAAATATAACCTGAATTTATGGAACTCACCAGTTCATTCATTTATTCATATTTCTCAACAAAAACTTTGAGTAACTACTGCCAATTATTCTTTATCACATTGGGGGCATAAAACTTTAAAATAAGACTCAAATGAGGATGTGGTGGCAAGTAGAAGTAGAAAATAAATAACATGTTTGCAGATATTGATAAAAACTAGAAAGAAAAGTAAAGGATGACAATGGGGTAGGTTAGGATAGAAGATGACCAGAACTCTGCCTGGATTAGGTGGTCAGTTAAGGTTATGTTAATTATATGAATGCAAAAGCCAGTCCTACATAAGTCTAGGGGAAGAAAACCACAAATAGTGAGGACAATAAGTGGAAAGGCCTCGAGGAAGAAACAGGGATGGGGTGTTTGAGAAACACAGAAAAAATGTAGATGTTGTGAACAAGAACAGCATGAAGTTAAATTTTAAGCAGTGACTTGATCATATAGATCCTCAAATGGCATGTTAAAGCCATGTGGGTGTTATTTTCACTGTGATGAGAAGCATTGGAGTGTTTCATTCAGTGCCAATATAATCTCTCTCTCAGGAGGCAAAGTTAATTGTGAGGACAGAGAAATCTCTGACTTTTCAAGTGTCTCCTCAGAGAAGAGATTATAAAGTTGTCTAATGATGCCTATGATTATGATTTAAGCTTTATTCTGGAGTATATTTATACTGATGTTTTCGCAGAATTTTTGCTCTTGAAGATGTTGAACTAAAGGCAGAAAGTACAATGAATGAGCTTCAGAACTGAAGAAAAAGAACATATCCTATGTACCTTTGTAAAAAGCCATTGTGGTCACTATTAATGTAACAGAATGGAGTAGGAAAAGAGCAGATGGGGAACGATAGTTTTCAGGCTATTTTAATGATCCATATGTGAGAATATCAGTGCTAGGAATGGGCAGGTATCAGTGGGGAGGTGAGAAGTGATGTATAGAATATATTTTGTTAACAGAATATGATGATGACATGGATCTGGGGGATGAAATGTGTTGAGGGTGAGGGAAATAGTGAAATTAAGAAAGAACTCTAGGTTTTCAGCTTAGGCAAATGAGTGAATAGTGGTGTCATTGATTAAGAAGCAGAAACATGAAAGAAAATCAATTAGGAGAACCTTACTAGATTTCTTTTCTTCTAGTCTTTACCAGATAACCACATGCATGCATTTCTGCATCTTGGGTAGATCTCATAGTTAGATAAGAGAGACAGCTCCTTTGTGGAAGCTGTCTCTCTTCTGACCATAATTCATCTCTGTTAAGAAAACGTTGGACAAAACTATAACTTTCACTAGCTAAGATGTCTTCTTGCAAAGTTTTCTTCCATCTTTCAAGAGAATGAGTGTCCTTCTCTGTAATGGTTTCTAGGGTGATATAGGGTATGAGGCCCAATAAGAGAGCCATTTACCAGATATCACAATTCTAATTAGACTATGTATTTTAAAACTCTTAGAAGAACAGAGTCAACACCCACAGAACCCAAGGGGCAACTCAAGCTTTGTCTTAGTGAAAAATTCCTGGAAATATGCAAAAAGGAGGTTGGAAGGGTAAGATAATCAATGCATGGAATGGGGGTAAAATGTATAGAATGGAAAGTTTCCCTAGATAATTTTTTAGTGATGTCTTAAGGCACAATACTAATTAATAAATAACTATAGATGATAGGTAATTACATTCTATTAAGAGAATTAGACACTAATGAATCAATAATGCTGCAATGCATTACATATAGATACTCGATGCTAGAAAAATAATGCCCATATCAAGGACATGAAGGTTTAATTATGATCAATAGACTGAAGTAGGTGAAGAATGTCGTTAATGTTCACAAAATTAGAAATGGATCTTAAATGTTAGATAAGTTTTGATTAAATGGAAGAAAGGAGAAAAGGAGAGAGAAAATATTCTACTGTACTCTACAAAACCATTGAATAAGAAGTCCACATCTGTTCTTGTTCAACACTCTGGGATTTCACTCTTTTAATCATACCCTAGGTCAGAGTCCATTGTCCACTTGCCAATGCTTTGTTTAAGAAACTTCATATTCTATCCATTAGTAGCAGGAATTTTAACAGATATTTGTACACCACTGTTCACAAAGCATTAATCACAGTAGCTAAAAGGTGAAACAATTCAAGTGCCCAACAACAAATGAATTGATAAACAAAATTATATTATTCAGCCATAAAAAGGAATGAATTTTTGATATATGAATGGACCTTAAAAACATTATGTTTAGTGAAATAAGTGAGACTCAGAAGGAAAACTATTAGACAATTTCACTTATCTGATTTAACTAGAATAGGCAAATTCATAGGAAAAGAAAGTAGAATAAAGGTTACCCAGGGTTGAGAGATGGTGATAAAAGGAAGTTATTGTTTAATGGGTACAGAGATGTTATTGGGGATGATGAAAAGTTTTTGGTATAAATAATGGTGATGTTTATAGAATACTGTGGATATATTTAATGCCACTCTATTGTACTTATGAATGGTTACAATAATAATTAATATATTAGGCGTATTGTGAAATATTTGCCAGAATTATTCTAGTAACTATGACATTAACAGCAACAACAGCAAAATAACAATAACAATGGACACTTCTGAGCACCTTTTATATATCTGTCACTGTAAAGTGTCAGGCAGTTGCCATTTATTCTTTCTATTCCTCAAAGCATCAGTGGTAGAAAGGGCAGGTACTATGATCTGATGTTTAAAGGTTTACTCTCTTTCAGGCCATGGAGTCAGTGCTAAAGAGATTTGCCACTTGCCCAGAGCACAAGACCTCAGATAGTACATTCTTGGTGTTCATGTCTCATGGCCTTCTGGACAGAATTTGTGGGATTCAGCATAGGGATGAAAAAACAGATGTGCTACCTTATGACACCATACTCCAGATTTTCAACAATCAAAACTGCTATAATCTAAAGGACAAACCCTCTGTAGGCCTGCAGAGGTGGTGAGTTCTGATGGGATCTAGAGGTCAGGGAGGTGTGTATCATGCAAGGTTTTACTGACTGTTTTATATCTAGTGAAAATAACCCTACACCTGCCTCACTTTAGTGCAGTTATACCAAATACACTTCTTTGGAAAGACTGCCTACTGATGACAATAGAGAAATTGATATACAAATAAATATAAATGCCATCCACTCTCAGTGAACCACAGGAAGTGATGATGATATTAATGCTAGCTTTAAATTATCTTTATGTGGAGTTATTAAAGTTATAGCATAAAAATGACTTTAATTTCAACCTTTGTTAATCAAAATCTTATTATCTCTTACCTGAGAAGTATTTCACATGATAGTGAGGGGTTAAATGTAATATAGTGCTAAGTAAGTGAAAGAAGCCAGACCCTGAAGTCAACATATATAATTCTATTTACATAGCATAAGAAAAAGGCAAAAGCATAGGGACAAAAGCAGGTTAATGACTGTCAGGGGTGAAGGATGGGAGGGCTATTCTTGATAGTATCGGTAGTTACATGACTGTATATTTATCAAAAATAGTTAAACTGTACACAGCTGTAAGAGGGCGTGGGATTAAGGGGGCTGGATGAAAGAAGGTGAAGGGATTAAGCACAATACACACACACACACACACATAGATACAGAAAATAGTGTAGTGATAGCCCAGAGGAAAAATGAGGGGGGGGGGTAGGTGGAGGTGGGCTAAGTGGCGGGAGACTTTGCTTGGGGCAATAGGCCCATGATGCAGTGTGCAGATGACATTTTATTGAGTTGTATACTTGAAACCTGTATGGTTTGGTGAACCAATGTCACTCCAAGAAATTCAATTAAAAAGCAAATTTTACTATATGTAAAGTATACCTCAATTAACAGAAAGCAAATAATTATGGCAATGCTTTCTCCCATAAATATTTTGCTTCAAACGTTAATATAATTATATCACTTGGGCATTGGCTTAGAAGGTGCAAGCAGCAATGGGAAAGGAGAGGAAAACATTATTTTAGAATCCTGTGTCTGTTGTTGACCTGAGCAGACTCCCTTCCCTGACACTGCAATGCTATTTTTACTATCATTAAACCAAGAACTGGTTACTTTACTTA